AAAGTTTTTATAAATAATTTTTATTTTGTAGAACACCTATAAATGTCTTTATTGAAATATATCAAATAGAACCAGATATCACGCCATTTTATTCAAAAAAGAAGTAAAAATAATTGATTTATTGCAAAACCGGATGTCTACAATTTTATAAACTTCATTAGTCAAAAAAAATATATATGTAGTGATTGTGAAATTGGAAGATATAATAACATATTATGCCCTTTAAAAAATTGAGATATAAATACTGAGGGAATTTTTATCATAATAGTTAATACTATACGTTATTTAAGTTATAATAGAAAACATATTAGCCCATAAACTCAAAAAAAAAATCACAGTGAACCCGATTATATGTTACATTATATTATATGTACCAAAGGACAATATTTTATTATATAAAATCATTTTTATTTTTTTATAATATGGTTTTTTTTTGCAATCGGTAAATATATGTATATCAAATATGATTTAATCTTAACGTTTTCGAGAGATATAAATTGATAAGTGGGATTTAAATTAATTTAATTATATATATGAAAATATTAATTGTTATAAATATTTATTTTTAGTTTTATTTTTCCTTTTTACCTGTGTCGTCTAACGACAAAAGCTAATATTTGTAAAAGAATGTATCGAAATGTCTGAAACTAAGATTAAAAGAAAAGACAACAAAAAAAGCATTGATAAATTTTTTATTTCTTTAAAGTTAATCAATCTTTGAATTTATAAAAATTCATTTCAAAAATTAATATATTATATAAAATTTACACTTTGGTTACACTTCTGATCTAATTCCATAACCGCAAACATTTAACAGCGTAATAGAAGATATTTTTATATAAAAAAAAATAAAAAATAAATCGCTCATCGCATATTATTATAAATAATTTTCAATCACCCTCTAACTACGAATAACTAATATACCATATACCATTCGAACGGCCTGGCCCGGATTTTTTAAAATATATTACCTTTATTTTTAATTTTTATAGCTAATAATAGTGATATATAAAAAAAAAAAATTTTAAATTATTGCACTGAGGAAAAAATTACAGCAATGTAGTAATTAGTTGCACTGAAAAAAAATATAGAGTTTAACAAACAATTTCATAAAGATTATTTCATCCAAAATTTTGAGCAAGAATTTTTGAAGATCAACAAAATGGAGGATTCATTTTTTAAAAAATTAGTAAATACATTTTATGAATTTGATTTTTACGAAATATTTTTGAATTATAGTAAATTTTCCGCATTTTATTTCTGACAACCCTGATTAGCATCCTATTCAGAAAAATGGATTGGCCCTATATTATTTTTTATTAGCCTCCATTTAAATATATTCACTAATATTTTATTTAAATTTCCTTTTTTACAAAATTTTAGGGTTTTATTTTGTTAAATATTATTTTATTATTCTATTTATAAATCCCTTGATTTTTATTAACGACGTGATAAGAACGTAAGATAATTATTATTAAAATTGGTTCCTCTGCAACATAAAGAAATGAAATAAACATAACCAAGTCCCCTATTTAACACTTTATTTAATACTGATACTGGTTCTTCTCCATTTTTACTTCCCGTTTTAAATAGCGAGCTCGTCTTGTTATGTGTACAGGTCACTGCGGCCCACCCAATAAACATGAATGGTCCTTCTTTTATCCCAGTATGATGGGTGTCTTCTTGGTGAACCAAGTGTTGCTCTTGTATATATAAACTCTATTATGTATATAACGTAAAGGGCTAGGTGCTCATTATCAGATATTACGTATGAATTTCTTATTTTCGCCTTATGCAAGAACAAAATGGGAGATCAAAAAATATTATATTTATTATATTTTAAAATTCATTATATTATATTTAAACCAAAGAAATATTATTACTTATATTGAAGAACACTGTAGTTTTAAGCCAGGTAGCAATTGCATTAAAAACTTGGAAATTAAAGTTTGAAATATTGCCAACCTGTTGTCCAAGATGGTATATAATAAAATCTTGCTTAGACTGAATAAAATATTAACGTTTCCTTAATAAAAATGTTTATGTTTATATTCATGTAGGGCATAAATTTAAAAGAAAATATTTTTGATTAGGCAAAATAAAAACTCACTTTAAAAAAAATGGAAACTAAAAGGTACTATAAATTTTATTTCTGCCAAATGAAACTATTAAGCATTGATAAAAATTTTAATAGAAACTATTTAATTCGTGTATTCTCTAAGGTTTATATTCATTTTTTGAGCAGATAGATTTCCGAGTATTTAAAAAGTTGTGCATATTTAACAATATATTTAATTTTGTTTAATTAGCCCTATTTTAATTCTGAAAAAAAATGTAAAATTAAAGGACGAACTTGGTAAAATTCTAATAAAAAGCTAAAAGATAAAAGTTTTTAGATTAAGGTTGTATAAGTCATTATTTCAGATATTATTTTGATTTACGAATATGTGTTTATTATAATTATGCAGAGTTGTTAAAAGATACTTTTAAAATGCGTCTTTAGACATATACAATTTTTTGAAATGTATCTCGCTATCGATACAATTTTTAAAACTTTATGTAGTTACAGATATAATTTTTATGTATGGTATGCGTAATGCTTAAACTATATTTTTAAAAAGTTGAAAGGGTAATATTAAGCATTTCTAGTGTATTTCCAAAGTCTTTAATATAATTAAACCTCCAGCTCAATGTTATTTGTATTATTGAACTCAGCAAAATTTGTTTCACCAAATGGAAAATAATCAACATTTCTGTTAAATCGATTGGTGTTATAGTTTGAGCTTGATTATATACTACTGATACAAGGGATACGAACCTGGCAAAATTTTTGCCCGGGTTCGGTTTAAGGTTAAAAAAAATAAGTGGGTTCGGTTCAGGAAAATATTTTTGTACCCGGGTTTGGTTCCGGGTTCCTCGGGTTTAAGAAATTTTAAATTGATAAATAAAAATATTCTATATTTAAATCATAATTAAAAAACTAGACATAAATTTGGTATAAAAAAATTTTTTTTATTTTATTTATAGGCAAAATATAATTAGAAATACAAAGCATAGTCATGTATAGATTTAAAAAATTTTATTTAGACGTATTTCTTTAAATTAACAATATTTAAAATAATTTTACTTTGACTTGTCCACTTTCATTTTCCTCTAATTAATAAGCTCTGAGAATAAGTTCTCCTCATATTTTTTTTAACTTTACACCCCAATTAACTTATGTTCCAATAGATGGAAATGAGGAAAACCTAGCGTAGCTCTGTTTAATCAACGTCAGAGGGCATATGAGCTGTATATCACGGATCATGGAAAAATAAATGGCGTATATGAATTAAGTTGTTTAAAATTTATTAACACTTCACTTAATTGGAAATTTTAAAATATTATAAAATGTCAAGTAAATTATTAATATTTGTATTTACAATTATACAAATATCTTATATTAATTTAAACAATACACTGAACCCGGTTGAACCCAGGTTCAAAATTTCCCGGGTTCTGTTCGGGGTTTTGAAAATTTAATAAACAGGGTTCAGGTTCGGTTCGGGTTCAAATTTTTTTCCCGAAAACCAGGGTTTTCTTTTCCGGGTTCGAGTTCGAACCCCTGACTGGTACTACATTTAGGACTTCTTTTAATAATATATTTTGAAAGTATTTTTTGTTATCCGATAATTAATAAGTTATATAAAATATAATGTGATAATGATGCTAAAAAAGGCTCTTTATTTTCATTATTATAAGAAAAAATTTTCTAAAATATTTTGCAAATACCATCTTGCACAGCTTTTAATAAAAGTAGACAATTTTGCAAAATTTTTAAGTTTACCTAAATTCCCTTTAACCACAAATATATGGGCTCAAATAATAAATTAACATAATTTGTAGATTAGTTTGTTAAACCCTTTATCATTTTTTTGTTTTTACAGATTTGATATTCAGCTTGTACATAGTCTTTTGACAAATTATTTTATAAAAATTTTTAAGATTGGGATTTGATTCAGGGTAACTTATTTCCATAATTTCCCTTTTAAGATTGGGATTTGATTCAGGGTAACTTATTTCCATAATTTCCCTTTCACTAAGTAATAATCATCTTAAAACTTGAAAAATATTACATAAAATTGATAATGATATTCAATCTAGTTATATTTATATAAAAAATATATTCTTTACTTATTTCGTTTTGATGGCGTTATTTTTAATCTATCTTAATGAGAGTTGTCAATTTTCCGAGTAATTTTGGTTGTCAATATATTTAATGTGAAAAAATAGGAAAATTATTATAAGAATCCACGAAAAAAATAAGGTTATAATCTGTGATAACTAAATTTTTAACATGTATTTTAAAAAGAATCTGTATCTGTAACTTTTGTGAGAAGATGAAAAAGAAAAATTACCTGCAGGATGAAGATCTTAGATGTACTAGTATTTTATTAAAATGTCAAAAAGATACTGAATACAAGATACAAATTCTTGTATCATGTATCTTAGATATAAGTATTCGTGGTACTACCCAACTCTGAATGTAATCAATGATAATATATATCAATTACAAAGTAGGTTGCGGACTGTTACCACGGGCAAGGGAATACAAAGCAAAATGGACACAATTGGAGGGAATGAGAGGGAGGAGGATAGTTTTGATTTGGAGTATTTTTGCTCATTTTGGAAGGGGATAAATTGTTATCAGTTTTCTGAGAGTGTATAGAAACCCAGATATGATAACAATATTTTTTTTCGTATCTTTTAATTAGTGTTTAACAAATGATAGATAAAACTACTAAATAAGTTTATTTTGATAAGTTAAATTTGAAAGAAAATAATAAATGAACGTAAATATACCCAGTATAATATATGAAAACCCCCATTTATTAATGTCCCCACCTATCGTAATATCCTGTATACGATGGATTTTAATACAGGGAGATATTGAATTGAAGTGAGCGTACATTTTCTTTGATGAAGAAAGAGTATGTTTGTTTTATCAAATAAAGTGAATTTCTATATTCTATTTCAACATTATTAGTAATTTTGGACTGGTTATGGTAAAGCATTCGTTGATTTTATTTTAAAATGCCCTTACCACCTACCCTTCTCGCTAGATTAGCGAAAAGAGGAATTTTGAACAAAGACGTTAAACGTAATTTTAAAGAAATGTCAACTTATTTTATCTTGTAATCTAGAATCAGAAGAAGAAGTTATCGCGGAAAATTATGATGATGATAGCAGCACAAATCATTTGTATATTGATGGCTTGGTTGTTTTAGGTTGTCCGAATAGATGGAATCCTTTTCATAAATGTTGTTCCTTTTGCCAGTATGATATTTAATAATTGTATTTAGCAATGTATAAAATAGAAAGCATTGGGGTAATGGGAAAGAAGAAGATGATGAAAACAAAAAAAGAAGAATGGCTATGCTTACTATATATCCTTTACCAAAGGAATGGAAAGAAATATATGATCCTTTAACGTTAGTATATAGATAAAGTATAAGTCTAATTAAAGTATATATAGTGGTAGATTTTATTATTGGAATATAACTAATGATCGAGTGTCCTGGTTATCTCCCAATCACCCAAGAGCAAAAATAACTATATCAGTAACTAAATTATTTAAAGGTAACATGAATTAATGTAGCAAAATAGCATTTATAATCTATATTTTATTATATAGATGCTATAGCTAGGAGTAAGACTAACATTCAAACAATTGAAATTAAAAGAAAACGTGAAAAAGAGGTAATATATAATTAATTCATATATTCTACAATTTTTATGCTCATTTGTTTTGTAATATAAATTTTTAGACATTAGAGCGAGAAAAAGAAACCAAACTGAATAATAAAGAAAAAACAACTACACCACTTTCCTACTTTAATTCTAAATCAAATTCATCTATTAAAAGTTAGTGTTTATTTATTAAAATTATATAAACAATTGGAATTAATGAAATATAATATTATGTTTTAAATCTTTTAATATATAGAGAGTAAGTAAAATTAATATTCTATATTTGGTATCATATTTAAATTTAGTTTAAAAATGCCATAATTTTTTTAAAATAATTTTTAAATAAAATATTCTACTAAAAACTAAATAATCATCCATGTTCATTTTATACTCATCACATAATATATAAATATATTTATTCAAGAAACAAAATCTGAATTAGATCCAATGGATCCTGCTTCATATTCAGATATACCCAGGTAGATTTTTTAAAATATTTTGCAAACCTATACATATAGCAATTTTAATCATCTTTATTTTTATAAAAGAAAATATTTTGGAAATTTTTTATTGTTATTTAATTTTTCTTTTTGGCAATATTTATTAATTTTGTATTATTTTACATATTTTAATTTTAATAAATTACATTTGTCTTAATATTTTGGTCAATAAATTTATAAAGTCTTTCATTAGAGAAATTTAAATATTATTTTTATAGTAATCAAGTTTATTAGCTATTTCTGTAATATCAAATTAATTATTTAAACAGGCTTTTTATAAATTTAAAAAAAAGAAATATTTGAATAAAATCATGATAAAAATTTCATATATGATCTCCAATTTTAACTAATAAATACTTAAAATTAAATGTAAAAGGGGAACTTGGACATCTGGCTTAGATGCAAAGGACGAAGCTGCAACTGGTGTGGACCAAACTGTCCCTGGCCCCTTGTTCCAAATGAGACCATACCCAAGTCCCGGTGCAATTCTTAAAGCCAATCAAAGTCAAAAATCTTCAAATAAAGATAAGAATAAGAAAGGCAAAAGGGATAAACGGAAAAAATGAAGGAAACAATCAATTAATTTTTAGAGGTTACAGAGTGTGTTGCTTTAATTTATGTGATTTTTAAAATAATATTATATTGAAATATATTTAACAAGATCGAATTTTATACAATTATTTTGTTAATAAATTCAATACTTTCTTTTGACAAAATAAAAATATTTCTATTTTTTATTTGGACTTGGACTTAAATCTTATATCAGAAATTAACTATTATAGAACAAAAATTATATTTTCATTTTATATTATCAACTAACAGATTTATTTTTATATATTTAAATTTTACATTCAAGTTTTAATATGTCTTAAAAACCGTATCTTATATTTATGTGTAGAATGATAAATTATGATTTGGCAAATATTATTAAATATAAAACTAATTAGTAAATTTGTCAAATATTAAAAGGCCAATTTCTTATCAATAAATGTTGCAAAAATAATGTGAAAAAAAAATTAGAGGCTAGATTTCATTCAGTGTTAACATTAGTTTTGAAAATATTATTATTTAAAAAAGTTTTTTTTAAAAATACTAACCCCTAAAACTACCATTTTTAAAAAGTAGCTTTGCTATTTATACTTGTAAAAATTTAATTATTATTCTATATAATCTCAGGCGAGGATTTTAGTACTCCACATACTTTTTTCCCAACACTGCAGGAGAGAATTTTTCTATTATTTCTTAGAAACTCAACTAAAAACTCGAAATGGAACAATTTAAATATAAAATAGAACGTTACTGTATTGTATCAAGAAATATCTTTCCCTTGTAATTTCGCTTATATACAGCAAAAAGTTTAGTTGATGAATGTATAGAGTAGGATTATACTTTGCATATATCAAAATAGACCGAGAAATTTTTATCAGACAACTACATAGGCAAACAGGTGTTTTGATGAATAAGGTCAAATATTTGTAGAAAAATTTAACAGTAAATGTGTGAAACCTTAATTCGAATTCTGCCTAATTCAGAACGCCATTAAGACTCGAAATGATTCGAATTTATATGGCAACTATTTTGATTTCTTGAACCGACCTTCCAAATTATTTATCAGATATTTTATTGCAGGATATGTATATTTACCAAGTAAGGGAGATCAGGACAATTTGAATTTATATGAACAATTATAAAGTCTGGCGTCTCAAAAATAATCTTTATGTGGATTTTATAAACACTTGTCGATGAAAAATATTTTTTCTATTGCAACACATGTCAAATTGACTAAAAAAACGAGATATTCGGACGATCATCTCTAAATTAAACGAAACATGGCCTGATAGTTATCTATGCTGGATATTTTAATGAAATCAAGATTTAAGAGCGTCATCTTAACCAGATTCAAAGATATACACCTTCATAGTCCAAAATCGCAATGCGTGATTTCATTAAAACTTGTTTTTTTTTAAAATACTTAGAATAGAGTTACAAATTATATATCATTTTATAGCTCTTAAAATTTTACATTGGAAAATATGAAAAAAATTAAAAATTTCTAAGTTTTTTATTTCCGGTATAAATGAAAAATTAACATTGTTGAGAAGGAATTTTTTCTGGGTGTTGATATTCGCTAAGAATGGTTATTACCTTTATATTTAATATTTAATAAAAATATGTATTTTATTGGAATTAAAATTTAAAAAATCCATTGAGTATAATAAATATGATATCCTGGGGAGATATGTAAGCAAGCAGTACATAATGATTATTAGAATGTTATATTTAAAAAAAACATTTAAAATTTTATATATATACTTATAAAAAATACCTCATGTTTATTGTATTCAATTTTGCTTTTTAAGAGAATTCCTTTAGCCATAATTTGTAGATTCCTGTCGCTGTTATGGATCTGATATCGTATAATTTTATGTCACTTGTGGGGTAAAAGAAGGATATGATGGTCCATAAGGATGTAAAAAAGGAAATATATATCTCCTCAGTAATATCATTCTCTTTTAGATGTCACTAGCCACCAAAAATGTTATAAACACATGTTTAGAAAAAACCGGTCAAGACTATGGCCCTAAATAAAAAGACCGATCACATGTAATGACGAATTTTGGTGGTTAGCCAATGTAATAAAAAAGATGAAATTACTGAGTAGATATATATTTCTTTTCTATATTCCCATAGACTATCACTATCCTTCTTTTACCTCACAAATGAGGAAAAGTATCGCCACAAATTTCTATCAATAAGCGCAAAATAGAATACGATAAAAACAAGAGCTATTTTTTTTATAATAATTTGTTCGTATATAAATTTTTATTAACTACCTAATAAAAATCATATCTGTATTGGCTTTTTGTTTATATATCGCCACACAACATTATATTGGTTAAACTCAATAGATTTTTTATTTTAATTCTAAAACAATAAATATTTATATTATATAAACTAAAATAATTTTTTTTAAAAAAATGTGGAAAGGGATTAAAAAATTGCTTTGTCGGGCATAGAGCCTATATTTTTTTTTATAAAAAAATAAGGATATAAATGAAATTTAAAAAAAATTAAAACGCTATCGATTTTTTTTGATTAAGCAGTTAAATATAAAGGTATTAAACATTCCCAACACCCAAAAAAATATCCCTTATCAGCAATGTTAATTATTTAATTTTACCGGAAATAAGAGTACACTTGGAATTTTATAATTTCCAATGTATTAAGGGCTATAAAATGATATAATTTGTAACTCTATTCTAAGTATTTTTTAAAAAAACTTAATGATCCAACGCATTGCGCGATTTTCGACTTTGAATCTGGTTGAGCAGCGCTTTAAAATTTTGATTTAATTAATATTTACAACATAAATAACTAACATGCCAAATTTCATCCATTTTTGAAATGCTAATCCGAAACATTGGTTGATTTGTAATGGAATCACCCAAATAAGTCTTAGGTAGTGCTGAGAAATTGGAAGGCTCGGTTAACTTGTTGGAATTGAGTTAGATAATTTCCCAATTATCCGTAGGTAAACTAGATATCCCTTGTATAATTAGATGCAATAATCTTTATGACAGTTTGAGAAGCTTATTGAAATTTAAAAACAATATGTGAAAAATTGATTTATCTAAATTAAAGGTAATTGAAATAGAATAGCTTGAGGAATATTGAAAAATAATGCCTCCTTGTGACATTTAAATTAATTAATACCAGGGAAATTTTCTACTATATTATAAGTTATAAAGGCTAGGGTTATATTTAAAATTTACTGACAATATGATACTGTTTATATATAATGGTAAAATTTAAAAAAAATACTGAGAAATAATATAGCTTTTTATTAATATATTAATATTTACTAAAATTACAAATCTAAACAATTATTAAAATAAAAATATAATCCATTAAGTACATATATATTTTACGATAAATAAATAATACACAGCACAAAATATAAAAAAAAAATTATATTTGACAAGATTAGTATACTAGTAAAATTATTAATTTTCTAAATGATTGTATAATGGTATATTTGAGACGACTTGGACCATTAATTCGTTTTTAAAAAGGTACCCGCAATAAAATAATTGATTTACATATAATTAATTGCGAGATATAAAATTATCTAAATTGTCTCATCAAATCCTCCGGTATACCAGGAGATAAATTCTTATTAGTCGTGTAATACATTTTATAGGTCAAAAACCAAGATGAAACGGCTATAAGAGCTGCGCTAAACTTTTGAATTGTAGTGTGGAAGTAAAGGATGGTTCCCAAAATCATTACTTCCCATAACAGAGATAATAAGGCTATAAATAAGAAGTTGTATTTGATAATACGATCCCAGGAGTTGCATCTTCTAAGCTGCCTATTAATAAAAAAAATATTTATAAACTAATATAACGAAGAATCAATTAAATTAAAACATCTTAAACCTTAACGGTCAGAAGGAAGGGCCTGTACATAGCACAACTATTTAATTTTGAACCCCTCTAAATTTATTTTAAAAATTTTTTTTAGCTAAGCATTCTTAAATAATTTTTTTTTAAAAAGCCAATGCCTTCTCTGACTTAATATTAAATTATAATTTAATTAATTGATCAAATAACGTTATATTTTGTGGCAAGCTGGAACTATTTGTCTGCGACTTATTAGTGTTCAATGTTCTATTGCCTTTTGCGTTACAATTATTTTTGAAATTCTCCCAGTATTTGTAAATTTTGCATTCCTCTCCTATGATCAGTTGACAGTAAGTCAGTAGGAATATATGGCCAGATAAATCCAAACCAATCCATTTTCCGCCCCTTGAATGGCAAAGACTATAGGCAATCTTCTCCTCTTTCAAAATGCATACCCCAACGGTTCTTTCTATGATAAGAAATAGGGTGGTCCAAAAATACCTTGGCAAATAGCAAAAAAATATATAAAATTGGAATCCTGTCATGTTATTATATTATTTATAGCAAAATCGGCTCAATCTTAAGGCGCGTACCGAAAAAATAAACCGATGGTTGATTTTTTCAGGTTCTCACCAAGGTCAGCCATGAGTAGGGGTGGGGTGGGGGTGATAATTTTTGGCTGAAATTGCTAAGGTAGGCACTATACCTTAGACAGGTCGTCCCAAGGACGTTGTCTCTTGAAATGGCCTACCTCTAATATATTGTATCTTGGAAGGGGTGCGTCCACGTCCTAACTTTTTCGTCCAAATATGCTTGTAAATGTAGATGGCCATTTATCTTATAAATCTTTATCATAAATTTCTTTTTTTCATTTAAAAAGTGTAGATATTATTTAAAATATGTACATGAATAAAAGATGCTTATTTTAAAAGAATAGTAAATTTAAAAAAATATATTTATTCTTTCACACCTCCAATGACGCTAACCCAGAATAGGAAGGCGTATCCGGAATAGCGTCCTGTCCGGGATGGAGATTAAAAATAAAAAAATTTTAATCTAGGCCTAGCGTGGCTTGTATTTTTTAAAAGCATAGTGATTATAAACAGCTCAATGTATTAGCCAGAAAAATATTGCCTACTCGAAATTTAATTAATAAAAGTCCAACCCTTTATGTCATCTATGTAAAATCTTCAGTGCGTAATATTTTTATAAATTAAATATTGAATCAGCCCAAACCAATCATTTCTGAAAAAATCTCAAAATATTTATTTTCTTTTAATGTTATACAATAAATTAAAATATTCTGTAATCATTTAAGCATTTTTATGTGTTTATCTCTCATATTCTATTAATATGACTTATAAATGAGTATGCAACTCTGATTTTTTTTAAAATTTCTTTTATAATTGTGGTATTCAATCAAACAAAAGGGAAGGATATGAATGAAATATAACATTAATATTTTTTTGGCCATGCCATCTGTTTTAGAGGATGTTACTGCCAACCCGAGGGCTAGGCCTTACTCTAATCTATCACAGATAAAGGTTTCCTCAAAATCAGCTCGAATTGGAGAATTTTGAAACACTACTTATGAGGAAATATTTCATTTTCTAAAAAATTTCTTAAATCATATTTTAAGCTATTTGGGCCATTTCATATCAAATCAATTATGATTTTCAAGACATCGATTTGGGTAAAACTTTATATACTAACTAAAATACAAGTAACTAAAGCAGTAACAATAGGGAGGCAAACAGAGGGCAGTGTTTTCGATGTGGGTTAGAGGGACATGTGAGGAGAGACTGTCCACAGGGGAATTTGCAGCGAAGGATGGAAGACTGTCCACAAGGGAATTTGCCGCGAAGGAGGGAAATGTATGGGGAATTGGGAATGTCGCAGCCACGGCCAATGTCGCCACCACGGCCGATACCGCCGAGGAGACCGGGAACGTGTGAAATGCCATCTCGTCGCACTCGCAGGGCAGCCGGTGGTATAGGAAGCACCCGAGAAGCAAACTGTCACGGAAGAGGAGTTTTTGGAGGTCGAAGTAAGCACGGGAGAGCTAACCAAATAATTTGGATATAGAATAGAGACCCTTACCCCCTCTAATAAGGAACGTTGGAATGGGGAAGGGTGGAGGTGTCGTAATAAGATTTTTTTCATTTATTTATTATTGTAACTTTAATACATGTTTGGTTATTTTTGTAAAATTATTTTATATTTTTTTGTGCGAATTAATTTTTCTAACCTACGCGGATTTTTTTTTGACTTTGAAAAAGGTAACTCATCATGAGTCAATTATATATATATTTGAAAAAAGAAATTTTGTAAAATATATATATTTTTTTTTTTGTTCATGTTTAAAAGAAAATGAAATTTTGTAAAATTAATAAATATTTTGTTTCATGTGTTCTTGTTTGGAAAATAAAAATAAAATAAATTAGTTAATAGATTATAATTATTCAGGATGGTCATGCCAAAGGGCACAACATAAACACTATCGATATTGAGAGATTTAATGTTCATATCAATTTAATTTTTATTTATCCTAATAGAACAAAAAATATATATTATTTAACTTCTAATGAAATAAAATGTTCAATTTTAATCTAGTTTGATTAATCTGGCTGAAAAAGTTTTGCTGCATAAAATTTGTAAAATCCATAGATTAATTTATTACAAAAAAGCCAAGATGAAATGAATATCGAGATATAAATCATCAGGATAATTTGTTAACATTATGTGTTAAAAAAATCTAAATTTTTTTTAATTTTTCCGTATTTTTTTTATTACCGAATGATAAATATGGACATAAAAAATTCTAATTTTAAACTTTAAGAATGGGATCAAATGAATCAAAACATTTCTTTTTAAATAAACATTTTAATATTTCTAACAATAGAATTTATATAATTTCTTATATTAGAATCATCATTTATAACTCGGCAATCTTTAGTAAATCTTTAATGGATTGACAATTAATAAGCATAAAAATATACTCTTGATTATATAAGAAACAAGATGCTAAATGTAAATGTTGTTATATTTACATATACCTTGATTTATATATAAAATTTCACCCAAATCCCAAGGAGTTCCATGATTATTATGTTGATCAATTTTATAATTGCTTAAAAACAGAGGCATTTGTATGAAATTTAATCAAAAAACTATTAATCAGTCATTTGTAATTTACTTAAATAATTTAGGGTAAGACTTGGAACTAAGCTAAGACTTATGACTAAAAAAGTTTTAAAAAAATTTAGGTTGGGTGTCAGCTAAGTTTTATTAGCAAATAATAATTAGAATAATCTATTATAACCTATGAGGACAATCATAAGTGATTTTTACTCATTTAACTGCATAAAAATACCATTAATTTATATTTAGTTTAAAATTTTTGAGCCAAGTTTGTGCATAAAATAAATTTGGGATAGGCTAGGCTGAGCTAAAAAAGAAGTAAATTTTTTTAGTCAAAGTTCATAACACATAATATACCTTAATATCTAAATGTATACTGCTACAAAGATAATTAAAATGGCAAATTGATTAAAATTCAAAATGTTATTTTATATAAATCATATCCCAAATATAAAAATTACTAACATAGGGAAAGGAAGTTATAGAAAAGCATAAAAATATAAGTATATATATATTTCAGTGCAATTAAAATTATAAGATAAAACATATTTATTATATTTTCCCATTTGTTGATAATAAAAACAAATCTGGCATCCCCTCCCTTTATCTTGTGGCATGTTTGCCACCTTAGGATTTTTAGCAAACTTCAAATATTTATATAATTAAACCATATTCCTGTAGCAAATAATAGCCTTGAACAATTTTTCAGAGCAATGAGTATGTTTTGATTTGAAATTACATAAGATACTGAAAAAATAAATGGTATTAATAAAGTAATAGTCCATCCCCATCCAATCTTTACCCCATACTGATTTAAATGATTATATTTTGATGCTAAAAATGTAGTCGGGGGTGTAAAGAAATCACATATAATAGATCCTAAATTTATAAATATTATTTAAAAAGAAAATAAAAAAAATAACCAGCTAATATATAGGCCAAATAAAATGCTGCTCTTGTTTCAATATTGCTGAATAAAATTGTTTTTGCTATGTATACAGAAATTATATAGAAATATTCTGAGTATGAAGCAGTGGTAACAATATGTTTTGGGGGAACATTCTTGATTGTGTTTCTGTTCATGAACTTTTTTTAAGAGGGTAATTATGTTTGATAGTAGTTTTGGTAAAATTTTAGATTACCAACAGCCCAGTTATAATGAGAGACATTATATATTGACATGATGAATGTCAATAAAATTATGTTATTTTACAGGATCAGAACGGAACGTGAGTAATAAATGGGATTAATGTTAAAGAAGATGTGGCCTATAAATTTTTTCGTTCTACCCTGCATACAATATAGCTAGTGAGAATTCGCGGTATACAAAAATGAATCTAAAATTATTAAATTTATATCTATTTTGTATAATTCGCTGAGATTTCACGCTAACTGTGAACACAGGTAACCCAAGGATATATAATATTATCTAATGTGACAATTCTTTTATTAAATTGCATTAGATCCTTGAATACAAAACAGCTGATAGCACCATTATGGTTTCCAAATAAATCATCGTTCAGTCGCATTAAAAACAATGAAACAGTGACGTCGCTAGGTGGGTGGCGCATGGGCTCAAGCCCCCTAAAAAATTTGAAAATCCCCTAGAAGCGAGAAATTTTTTTTTAATGACTCCTTAATATCCCCTTGAATTAAAAATAAATTTTTTTAATTGCTCCCTGAACAATTTCTTTTATAATTCTATTGAGTAATATATAGATTTAATTTTATTATTTAAAAATTAATAAGACTATCTAAATTTTTATTAAATGAATACTATTTTAATTATTAGATTAGAGTAATACATCTAAATTATATTTTCACTATGTCAGCTTACGATCAAATTCTTTGTTAAAAATATATCAATATCACTTACTAAATATTAATTTAGCATTAACAGTTGAATCTTAATTGACTTTTATTATTTAAATTATTATATAACCCTAATTAAATATAATCATTTATTAATTGAAGATTAAAAAATTTAATTGTAATTAGCCGAGTTTAACATCACTAATCAACTATATTATTGATTTTTAAATTTAATTATCATGTCTCTTTTTAAAATTATTTTCAAGGTCCAAATCCAAATAGGTATAAGAGATTTATTTAAAAAAGTAAGTAGATATATAGTTTATAATCCTCTATTATATATAATTATTTATAAAATATTAGGTAAAATGCCACTTTTGCAGACGTATTGTAATCTTTTTTAAATTTTACTAATCAATTGTTTTGATATTAAATATAAATAACAATTTGAATTCAACTATTTAACGTCATCTATTTATTTAAAATAATATTATAATTAAACATCTTATTATTCATCCTACAATGGATGTAATAAATTAGATATCTTTTCTTCTCTTTTTTACGTGTTTTTTAGGAAAGCTATTTTTTTCTTCTTTGAAAAACAGTTTTGAGTTAAATTGTTAATACGAATATATTTTAGATATTATTACAAACTATTACTATTTTAAAATATAATGTATTAAACTAGCGATGGTGCCACAATAATATATAAAATTTGCTTTTATGTTATCAATCTGGTTCACATTTTATAGTTACAAAATGTTTCATTTCTAATATGTCATCCTTGCCTATCAAGGCTTCAATATATTTGCATAATTTCTTCTAAATATTTTTAGTGATTTTGCTTTATCAATTCTAACATAATAAATACTGATATGGGTTACCATCGTGAGAGTCATGGCTATGACTGTAAGTTAACCCGCATCTATTATTTGTGTGGCTATGTAATTTAAGATTAATAAAACAGCTGCTGAGAGCATATGATTGCATATTTTAGATATGCAATAATGGTCAACTGTGTAGTCTTTTATATATCATTAAAAATGGAAGATAATCTTTTAGAAATTTAATATCCCACAATAATTTTCTCGATTACTTATCTAGCTCCCATCAAGTCATTTAAGAGGAAGCTCTAACTACCATATAGTTTTATGATTTGGATTGGTCGTTTATATTCTCTTCTTCAAGAATTTAATATGGTAAGGCCTATTAATTTTTTCTTATTAGTCCATTCTATAAAACATTGTCTAAAATGGTGTTGGAATTGTATTAATATCCACATTTAATATTTGATAATTATTTCACATTTTTTATTGATTATCATTTTATTTTTAATCATAATTTAAATTTTATTATATGATAAATTACATTTTTATTTTCAAAGATAAATTACATTTTTTTTATCCACTTCAACAAAAACAATTTCTCTTTATATATCTCTTTTTTTTAACAATAAAAAAAATAACTAATACAAATTGATGTATAAAAAAATGTTAATATAAAATTTTCACCGATTAAATTTAAATACAAATTGATATATAAAAAAATAAATCAATTGCCAAAATAAATAATAAAATAACATCGATCAACATATTCAACATTCCACCCTCCAAATAAATTCGGCTTCTGATTTCCTTGCATAAGTTGAGTGGTAACGTCATTAACATTCATGATCACCACGCAATGCGCCACCCATGTTCATGGTTAGTCTTCTTTTCAAACCGAACGATGGCTTGTTAAGTAAAGACAACGCCTAGCTAATTTCCAAACCGGGTCGCTTCTGTATAGCATCGGACATCTAGATTCCTTTCGAGCAAGGTTTATTTTATCGTGCTTCAATCCTATTTCTAAGTCGTTGCATCGATCTTGGCGCACGGAATTCTCCTTGAAGGTATGATCTTAGGCGCAGCATCGGGCTTCAAGTGAAATTTCTCTTGTCTGACCATTTTGGGTTTGTAGGAGTAAGTTGATTCGAGGTTTTTTTTTTGTTGTCGAGATTATCTTCTCAAGATCATTTTCTACATTACTCACTAAGAACGTTTTTAAAATGTTGTTGAAGGTGTGGAGCCACATACGTCCTAGCAGGGAGATCTTATCACAATCCACTACAATGGCCTCCAGTGTATGTGAGTTTCCTTCATACTTAACGTTCACATTGGCAATACCTAATATCTTGATATCGCTGCCGTCATAACTAGTGAGTCTCATGTCCGTCTTACGTATCGCGGTTATGCCTACAGTCTTAGCTGTCAACTTTGGAAATATACTGTTCCTGATACCGGCAGGGGCCCCTACAACGGAGGGGGGTCCAAAGCAACTGCTTCAGTAAATTTGAGTGGGGGTACTTTTTTTTACATCCATCAAGATCATGTGATTTCTGGTTTATAAATGTAACAATAAGACCCCCCCCCCCACTTAATATTTAATTTAATTTAATATATTGACGGAAATTTTGGACGATGTTTAGTAAACTCATAAATTATTTTTCCAATTTTAAAATATGCCTAAAAATATTAACCAATATTGACAGCAAAGTTCTTAGAAATTGGATTACTTATAGTATTAAAATGTATAAAGTTTTTTGCTTAACATCTCTCTTATTTGGTGGTCCACACGCAAATTCAAAATGGACACGTGAAGGTCTAGATAAATGGCAAAATATTAATCGTGATATTATTCAGCATGAATCTTCATAGGCACATATGATGGCATATTATGGAAGGCTTTCTCATAATAAAAATTCGATATTAAAATTTATAACACCTCAGAAAGAATGTGTAGATAATAACCGTTCTATTATAAGAATTATAATAAGATGTTTAGATTATTTAATATCTCGTAACCAAGCCTTCTGGGGGAACAGGCAACAAGAAGGCAATATGATGGCCCTTATTAAGCTTATTGCAGATTCTGAACCTATACTAAAAATGTATATACAGCAAAATGAAGAAAGAAAAAAGGATAAAAAAAATAAGGGATTAAAAACGAAATTATATTCAAACCTATTATCATATAATAACATAAACATTCTCATTGAAACCATGAAAAATATGGTTATAAAAAAAATTCAAAATGAGATTACATTTAACAGGTGCTTTTCAATCATAGTTGATGGCACATACGATGTTTCGAAATCAGAAACAATAGCTTTGATAGTAAGATATGTTGAAAATAGTGAGACGCCGAAGCCTGTTGAAAGACTGATTGACATATATTGTACGGGAAATACCACAGGTCTCGATATAAAGCATAATATAATATCCAAACTTGACTCGATGAATTTACCCCTTGAATATCTAGTTGGGCAAAGTTATGATGGCGCAACAAACATGAGTGGAAGAATCAATGGTGTGCAAGCCTTGATTAGAGCAGAGGCGCCAAAGGCAGCTTTTATTTGGTGTTATTGTCATCGATTAAATTTAATCGTTGTTCAATTATACCAATCAATTAAAGAATTTCGAAATGTTCTAGGAATACTAGATGAGATTTATGTCTATTTTAATGGTGTAAAAAGATATGAGGTACTCAAAAAATTTCAGTGAAATGATCTGAAAAAATCTCAACGATTTCTACGCGTCAAGAATACCACTCGGTAATAGTTCCTTATTTATTTAAATTTTAAATGTTTTTTTTATTTAGAAGCTGGCTATCGTCATATAAAGCTATTGTAAATTTTTTTTAACTTTATGATGCCTTGAGGGCAGCTTTAACAAATATAAAGGATTCTAAAGATCCTGCCACTTCCACTATGGCTAGTGCTATAGTCTTTAGAATAGAAAAATTTGATTTTATCTTATCACTTTGTGTTTTGGATAAAATATTGTTTATAACAAGTTAGGCTTGTACAAAATTGCAAACCATTTCAAAGGATATAGGGTATGCAATAAATCAAATTCAATTGACAAAAGATTGCTTGATTAATTTGAGAAGTATAATATAAATTATTGCCTTAATTATTTTTTAATCTAATAGATAATAACACTGAATTTTTTGATGTTTTTTCAAAGGCGCAAGATTTTATGAAGGAGAGAAATCTACATTTTGATTTTTAAAGTTCTAGACTTCAAACATTACAATCCAAAAAGGAGAGGTATATATACTTTCATCATTAAATATAGAAATTTTTTTTAGCTTTAAAATAGGTGTGTTTTATGCTGCACTCGATTTAATTATTATGCAGTTTAACGAAAGATTTAATGATGATTCCATGAAATTTTTACATCAAATATCATTTTTTACGCCAAAGGGAATGGCAGAAAAATCAATTATTCTGTGAATTTTACAATTTAAATTCAAGTCAAATTTTCGAAATGTTGAAGTTTAGAAATATTTATAAGATGGCCAAAATAAA